ACATTTTTCAAGAATTTTCACATATGTAATTTTAAATGAAATGAAAGAATAGTTTACTTTCTATGGGTACTGTCTTAATTTAAAGTTTCCTTTACACAAGATTAATAATATAAATTAGGGATATTATGTTTTTATAGAAAAAAGTAGCATCAAAAAATTACATTTGTGTGTTTGTTTTGTTTGTCTGTTTTTTCCCATACCGGGAATCAAACTCAGGACCTTAAGCTTACAAGGCAGGTGGCAGAACCACTGAGCTAAATGCCTGGCCCATGAGTTGTGTGTTTTTAAAAGTAGATAATAGCTCAGTTGTGATCATCATACCCTTATCCTTTTAGGGGAATATAAAATTTATTCATTTTTTTCAATCTCTCCTCGGTTGTGTTTTCAAGTTTTCTTTTTCTTGAACAAAACCTGAAAACATTTATTTTTCCAGTATACCATTTATTTCCTCTTCATTTTCAAATGTATTCCAGTAGTGCTTCAGGTCTTTTAAATTTTTTCTAATGTTTTTATTTGCCTATGATTGTTTCCTTTTTATATCATATCTTACATGCTTTTGCTCTCTCTTTTTCTTATAGGAAATTTATCTATTTTGCAATTATTTTCAAAGCATTTGTTTGAGAAAATATTTCTGTATTGTTCCCCTTATTAAAATCCATATAGTTTTAGCTTTTGTATTTTGTTGTATTTTTCATTACATTATTTTATTTTATTATATTCTTTAATAATGAAGGCATTTATAGTTATAAATTTTTATCTAGATATACCCTGTTCTTTTTACTGTAAATTTTAGTGAGATTTTTTTTAGAGTTTCTGGTGTATTCTAGAAAGTTTTCATCCCTTTGAACAAAACTGTCTAAAAATGTGTTAATTAATTTTTAGGTGATTAAGACTTATGTCCTTTCAAAATTGCACTTCTAATTTTATTGGCTCAAAATCAAAAGAAGAACCCTGGAAATTCTCTTTGAAAGTGTTTATTAGAGAATTTTGAGAAAAAATAATTTTTAAATATTTTGTGACATTTAATGTTTTTAATTTGATAGACATTTTTGTAAATCTGTGAAACATATTTTCATTGAATTATTTATTATCTCTATGTCCCTGTTTACCTTTGTTTACAAGTCACATTTTAAAAATATTTTTATCTGTTTCAAGCTTTAGTAACCAGAGCAAAACTAATTCCACTGTCCACTTAAAATTCTTCAGACAGCCTCCAAATTACCTTATTTTTTTCCTTATAAAGTACTCTTGATTTTAATCCCGGGGGAAAGGGATAAAAGGAAAAAAAAGAAAGAAAAAGATACACAGAATAGTATCATATCTGGTTTCTGTGAGAACATCTCAAATTGGGTTTTTCATGAAGAAATATTCATGATTTTTCTATTTACATTTAGAACACTTTTTTACATTTCCTTATTGCCTTCTTCTAATGAAAAACATTGTCCATATAGAACTGATATGTAGACATAAATACGACAGCTATATTGCCTATTCTTTAACATAGATCACTTCTTTTTTTTAAAAATGATATCAATTTCCTTACAGTAGTGAATTAAAAATACATTTAGACAGGGCCTCAGAGTGTGTGGGGGTGTGGCCTAGTGTAGAGTTTTTGATAGCATGTGTAAGGCACTGGACTGGATCCCCAATACCAAGGAAGGAAGGAATGGAAGAATAAAGGAAGGGAGGGAAGGAGGAAAGGATGCAGAAAGGGAGGGAATAAAGGAGGGAGAGGGGGAAATAGGAGAAAGAAAGGGGCAAACACGTTGAAACAAAATTCAGTAGTGGTTTTCTCAAGTGCTAATCATTCTTTTGTTGGTAACAAAAATCCAAGTATGTTCAGTAAAATCAAATTTTAAAAAAATATGTAACAAAAATAAAACATATATAAATACCAGATATTTAAAATGTCAGATAAATTGATCTTGAAAGTATTGGAAACTTCTTGAAATACTAAAATACACTTATAAATCCATAAGTCTCTCCCTGTACTATGGAGCATAGGCTCAGTTCTAACATTACTACTTAATGATTCCCCACTTTTCAAGCAGACCTGACAGAAACTCATGTTGGTTCCAACTTTTATTGACCTACAAGGTCACTAGAATTTGGGTAGCAGTGAGATTTGTTAGATTCAGAGACAGCTTATATTTAATCTAGGGTGCAATATTTAAAGTGATCATAATGAAGTATGACAACCGTATTGACTAATCTACAACAGAGAATAAGTCATCGCAGTAGTAATGGGATGGACCACCCAATTAATTGGTAATAAAATGGACAGATTGTTTTGGAAGCTTTCCAAGGAGGAATGCACTTCTGATGCTATGCTTCAAAAGCAAGGTAGAGCTACTTCCTTAATCCAGTTGTATAGAGAGAATCTGTGCAAGACACAGAATCTGTGACGTTTATGTGAAAATTAAGACTAGAAACGTGTGAAGATCAACACGATTCTGAAGGAAATTCTTCTGGTATTTCCTCAACCTGTGAGCAACAATGGACATACTTTAACCTTGCAGTGTATAAATATTTTCATCTATAACTCATTTGGTCCTTATAGGAATTCTCGAGATATCTCAGGAGTTCGAGTTCAAAAATGGCAAACTATCTCCTCAAGCTAAAGCACGCACTGCGATGTGTTTAAACACAAGCCAGTCGGCCACTTTGCATCACAGCCAACGCGGCAATGGCTCACGTCATCCGTGTTAACTCACCACAGGCCCTTGCCTTTTCTGTGAGCTAGACTGGAACAATAAAAATCCTAGCCGTTAAGAAATATGAAAATTTGCAGAAGTGCATTTATTTCCGTGCCTAACCTTGTATTAGGAGAAAAGAGAGCCACTAGATTTCACAGTAAAACACCGTTAGAAGTACAAAAAAAAAAAAATCAAGTAGATGTTTCCTCCTCATTAGTTTGGGAGATACTGCTGAAGAGTATGAAATTGCCTGCTCATTAAAACCCTGTAATGAACTCATTCACAATTGTGAAGGAAATCTCATCCTTTGTTTTAATTCAGTATACAACAAGATTCTATGTTGTTTAGAATTAATAATCTAGGGCCGTGGATTTGGCTCAGTGGTTCTGCCGCGTGCCTCGCAAGAGCAAGGGCCCAAGTTCTATCTCTGGTACCAAAATAAATAAATAATCTAGTGCCAAATCACATTTCTTATTTCTCTTGATTCTTGCTTCAGGACCTTCAGTTCTAGTTCCAAAATCACGTTCTCAAATACTCTGTAAGCATAGAAAACAACAAAACAATACAACAGATCTGCCTCCCAAACCTAATATACTGTGTAGCTTATGTATCACTGCTCTAGACAATAACCTGTCAGTGTCCTGAATTTCACTGAGAAGGGGAAGATGGATTGATTTTGCTAGCGAGTCTCTAGAAGAAGAGCTGAGATGTTAGGAGAAAAATGCCCCTCTCCATCACCTGGGGAAGCTAATCGGGAGGATCTCCTTGGGGAGCAGCACCCGCATTCGTCTCCAGCGGCAGCACGGGGCTGTTATGGGCTATAACTAACAGCACCGTTGTGAGTCATCTTGGTCCATAATGACATGCTCCACAGTGGCGTCGGCGCTCCTATGAGATGGATGCTGTGTGTAAAGGAAAACGTACTGCTCCGCTGAGTATCTGCAAGCTTGTGCACGACACAGTGACACGTAGCTATTGTTTTTCCCCTGCGACGAATCTGCCATATCCCACCATCACCAGGGTTCTGAAACTCAAGAAGTTTTTGTAGGGCGGTGTGTCAGGCCCATAAGTTGTTATAACAACTTAATTCTCAAAAATAGCCTCTTCAGGGACCAGAGATTTAGCTCAGTGGCACCGCGCCTGCCTCTCAAGCACAAGGTCTTGAGTTTGATCCCCTGTTTAAAAAAAAAAAAAAAAAAAAAAAAAAAAAAAAAAAAAAAAAAAAAGAAAAAAAAAGAAAAAAAAAAAAAGGTAACCTCTGCCAAGACATACTGCGGCTGCCTGTTGAAGTCTACTTTGAGGGCTGACCCTAGAAATTTAAAAAGAAAAGAAGAAAAAAAATCTCTGCACTACTAAAATATTTCAATGACTTAATTTGGATCCAAACTTTTAGTGTTCTGAGCTGATTTTAACAGTATTTTCTCTGCCAGAGGGATGTACTGTGACCCATTTCTACCGTGAATAACATTCGTAAACTCTGTTTTTCTGGTCAATTGTTCATTAACTGATAATTGGCATAGAAAAAAGAGCAAACAGATTGGACCACTGCGAAGGGCCCGAGCTGGCTCTGATTCTGCCTCTGTGACGGGGATGTTGTCAACCCTCAAAGGAGAGGACTGCAGTCTTTCGGGTTCCTTTCAACTTTAGAATTGCATAACATTTTTTTTTAAGGAAAAAAAAACTTATTCACAAGCATTATCTATACTTTTTGTCTTCTAAACCAGAAGTTCTCTAAGAGGCAAAAACAAAGGTGTAAATTTTTAAGCATTTTAAAACATTTAAGATTTAAACCTTACAATTCAGAAAGTAAATTTTAAAAGGAAAACCTTTTAAAATTTGAAAGTGTGTAAAGTAACTAAACATGTTTTAGAAACACATAGTTTAGATACATGTACCATGCACCTGGCATGGGATATTTACTGGCATTGCAAATCACAATTTACTCAGAAGTTCCTAGTTGTAAAAGTGAAAGAGGAAATCAATAGTGACTGTACTTTCATTATCTAATTCTATTTTCAAAGCTATTGCACAAATTTTTCCGGAGAAATAATCATTTCCTGGCATAAAAATGTTCCTAGCTTAATAAAGTCTCAGCTAGTAACTGAAATGTTTTCAGAAATACTCTGTTAGGGAAATACAACTTGATGAGAGAAAAGTCATTCTGCTTAAGCAATTAGTATCTGTGTCCATCAAAACAATACTGAGAATATTCATATGTCTGACCTATTATTTCTCTTCTTAGTGATAAAGAATATCGCCATGTTTTCTTTTCTTTTAATCAATGTGTCTATTTTTATTTTTCAGAATGACAAATCCCCAGGGAGATCTGCTAGTCGATCGAGTAACATTTCAAAAGTAGGTAAAACATATTCATGTTCACATTTATTGATTTCCACATATCATGAGTGTATCATGAGTAAATATGTGCAATGTTTAACCTATAATTTTTATTTGTGGGTAATACAACTCTAATTTACATACTACTTATAGTTAAATAGTTTTAACAACTTCAAGATTTTACTGTGATCAAAAGATATGATTTTATACAACAAAATCAATTAAACCATTTTTAATTCTTGGTGTTACATACAAAAGACATAATTGGCTAGTTTTAGAATTGTAATTCAAAATATGTTTATTTCTATCTTTTTTTTTTTTTTTTTTTTTTTTTTTTTTTTTTTTTGGTTTTTTTGAGACAGAATCTCACTATGTAGTTGAGAGACTGACCTGGAACTCACTATGTAGCCCAGGCTGGTCTCGAACTCACATCAATCCTCCTGCCGCAGCCTCACAAGTGCTGGAATTACAGGTGTGCGCCACCATGCCCGGCATTTTCTATCATTTTAAACACCATCAACCTGACACACACAAAAGTAAAAACCACGTCAGCACTCATAGTACAGTTCTTCTGAATTTAATATTTCAGAATTCTGGATTCAGCTCTACTAAAATTTAACTACTGCTGTTGCCAGTGTAGGTTTTAGAAATCAATTTAATGAAGACATGAGTATGGTTATATTTGGTTATGGACTCAATGGAAGAAAAAACAAAACTCTCACTACCCTGTAAATCTAAGTAAGATGTCAGAATTGAAAAGATTATGGCTCAAGAGAGATAATCTAGATTTTATCTTGCTTACAAAACAAAATTTAAGAATTGCTCCCTAAAATGTGGTACCGTGTGGTATATACATATGGTTCTTGAGATGTAAAAGTAATTTAGAGTCATTTGTCAAAATGAAAAATTATGATTTTTCAAAAATATGATTAGGACCAGGATGGGCTTACCATGGATGGAACTTGGGTTTCAGGGCCTCTCCCTTGCTAGGACCCCTTCTATGTATGTGACTTTAACTTTGTATTAGCAATTTTACATTATTTTCTTTGTAGAGCACCTCCAAAATAGCAATAAACTTCAGGCATTGTAGAAACAAGACTAGTCTGCAATATGGGAGTTAGGGAAAAAATCCCTACTCGGTCTTCATTAGCTTACTCTGAAAGAGTTGAGATGAAATACAAAACAGTGCATTGGGGTGTGTCTGCGTGTGTGTGTAAAGTCAAACTGTATATCAATAACCGTAACATCACAGGCCTAAGACTCCCATCCCTGACAAAGCCTCCTTGCAAACTGGCCCTTAATAGCATGGGAGAACCAGGATTTCAGGAGTGGAACAATACCGTATTTGATAGGAGTGGTTTGCTGCACCTCAACTGCAAACAGGTGGTTTTCTCCTGAAGTCTGAAAAATTAGTACATGCTAGGCAGGCAAACGTTTATAGATCCTGTCCCCGATATCCAACTCTGAGCAGTGAACCTGTAATGGGTGTCTGGTAGACAGGTAGTGCAAATTTCACAATGCATTGCTGCGGGAATTAATACCCCGCTATCTGCAACTGTGTGAGTGTACTGGAATGAACTTTTGGAAACTTGGTACTGATTCCTCTGGACTTCACTCCCTATGCCTTTTCCCTATGCTTATTTTACTTTGTGTCTTTTCATGGTGATAAATCATAGCCAATCCTGAATATGCTCAGTCCTGAATACTAGAAAATCATAGACCCTGGACATGATCAAGAGTACCCTAACCACACAGTCCGCAGAAGAAGTGCAAATGGGGGTTATGAAAGTTCAGAGTGATCCTTTCCATTTCGTTGGGACAGGATAACATCAGAGAAGGTTTCTTGCAGTAATGGTATGCAGATAAGGACTTAAAGAATTGGTCAACTGTCAGAGTGTTTAAAGAGATATGAGTACAAGATGTGGAGACAACGAAACATAGATGAAAAGGAAGGAGGTACATAAAATAGTTTGTGGATGAAGGGAGGGCAGGGACAAGGGGAAAAAATGAGAAGCAAGACCTGTCATGTAAAGGTACAAGATCCCAGTAATGAATGTAACCGTGCAATATACCTAGAATGTACCAATAAACTCAATAAAAACAAAAAAAATAGTTTGTAAGGGGCTTTTAAAAAGAGGCTTTGAATAATAGAATCTGTTCTCTTTAATTTTGTCCTGTACGTATTGTTTAGCTTAGAAACAGAAATGGTTTTAAAATCCAACAAGGTCCTTGGACCTTAAGACATTTCTTTTTTTTTTTTTTATTATTATTATTTTTTTTATTGAGTTTATTGGTACATTTAGGGATGCAGTACAGTTACATTCATTGTTGGGATCATGTACCTTTACATGGCAAGTCTTGATTCTCATTTTTT